TATTAGCAATAGTTATTGAATAACTTCTGTCAGGGTGTCCTGAAACTTTATTAGTATATTCAAAATAGTTGCAAATTCCGATGGAAATGAGAGTGGTAATATAAAGTGCCTGTCGAATTATTTGCCTCACTCTCCAATAAATTGTAAAACACATAACATTTTGAATCACAAAGGTCACAAATCCCGTGGCATAAAATATGTGAAACGAATATTTTTGTATCCTTCCGAATCTTCCTCCACGTACTCCTGGATGAGAAGCAAATATCCATTCCAACACCAGGCCAAAGGAAAACAAATGACAAAACACTATAGAAGAAGTTTCCACTTGCATAAACATGCATAATACTGAAGTACCGAGGTACCTAAATAAAGCAAATGTGTCAATGAAAGTCCACAACACAGGTGTTCCCATCATGTAAGTGAGATGGAAGACTGTGAAGTGCTTTACGTAGTTATTAGTTTTTGTGTGGGTTTCCTGGGCTCTGCAGATGATTGAAATCAAGTATATGTCTACTACTATAACACACAGGCACAACATCAATTTGATGATGTCTGTCACCAGATTGAAGTAATTCAGAACTGTGTAGATGGTTATCATCTCTACATTTGTCTTTCCGCTTCCATTCATCCCGATATATTCGTTATAACTGACATTAAGTTCTCCAGGCATTGCTATGAGGTTTCCTGAAAATTAAAAAAAAAATCAGTATACAGAAATGTTATGAATACTTCGACTCATCATTTAAAACACGTTTCGCTACACGGTAGCATAATCAGTTACTGGTACATCTAAGTATAACGCACATTTCATGTCAAAACTTAATTAGATGAGTGAATAATTCGAAAAAACAGATATACATTGAAATCACAAACTATTCACATATTGACTGCTTTTCTAGAAAAACTAATGTATCAGTTTGTGCTTTCTAAATCTACCGGTTGTGTCAGAATTATTCCTTTATCTAATTGAGTTTTGACATAAAATGACATTGATATACCTGTTTCCATTAGGTTATATTGTATGGTATCTGATTATCTATTCAAAATCTATCTACTTCACTAGATTCATTCGTTTATCTAATGAGTTTTATAACATTTCGATACTATTATGTTCTTAAGACATAATACAAGTAGATCTCAGAAATTATAAAGAAACAAAAAAAATCTCAAGGGGTAGATGATACCTGCGGAAAAGCTATAAAGAAATTTGTAATACACAGTTTGGAACCTTTGGTGTAGTAATGTATATTACTGGTATTTTTCCCAACACCAAACCGTTATTTTAACATCTCGACACGTGTTTCGATCGCCAGGTGATCATCATCAAGAGGAAGATTAAACTAAACATACTTACAATGTAATCCTTATTTACACCATAGATACATCTTCAAGGTACCTGCGTTTTGAGTGTAACTTTACAATGTGTCCTCATATAATAGTCAGGTTAATCTAATAATCAAAATATTATTTCAACAAGCTATACAGTGTGTCTCACTTCTCATGGAAACACCCCCGTATCTTCCGAAATATTCAAGGTAGAACAATGAAACTCTCAGGACTGATGGAAATGCTCAAAATGCACCTACCACCTGAATGAGGTTGGCCAAAGTGATATACACTGTCCGCCACTCGCGATGGAACACCAGTTTAAGAGAAACTCGACTTTTGTTTTCACATAAATAATTTATTTTTTATTTTGTTGTCAGGAAAGTTATTCCTTCTCAATAAGAGAGAAAATGAATCTGATGGAATTTTGAGCCTATTTTGCCCCCTTATATGTTTTACCGTAAAAATTGGGTGTTCCATCGCGAGTGGCGGACAGTGTATATCACTTTGGCCAACCCCATTCAGATGGTAGGTGCATTTTGAGCATTTTCATCAGTCCTGAGATTTTCATCCTTCTACCTCGAATATTACGGAAGATGCGGGGGTGTTTCCGTGAGAAGTGAGACGCACTGTATAGTATAGTATTAGGTATTGGTCCACCATCGTTATTCATAATATTATTATTATGTTTACTTATTTCTAAATCTAAATACCTGTTATTGTTAACTTGTCTAACTATTCTTAATGTAAAACACTTGAGATGCAGGTAACTAAAAGAGGCATCTATGATATAAATGAGGATAACATTGTAAGTATGTTCATTTTGATATTCCTCTTGAAGATGATCACTTGGCGATCGAAACAAGTGTCGAGGTGTTAAAATAACGGTTTGGTGTTGGGAAAAAAATCCAGTATAATGTAAAAAAATTTGTTGATTCCATATGTTATCCACTATCACACATAATAAACGTGTCGTTTGTTGGTGGACATTATTCAAAGGTTTCAAAGATATCAAAATCAGTCCCAATTTATGAGCGTGAAGGATTCAGAGAAGATGTTGGCAATCACAGGTATGTATGCCTACAATTCCAGTTTTCCAAGGTAATTGACAGTACCTTCAATATACGGCTCACTTTTTCTAGAACAGAACAATCTCGTTTCAAATTGTCAACACGGGTTCAGACATAAAAACTCCATTGAAACTGCCACTGAAGTATTGTGCATACAAATATATCAATACCTGGATGATAAAAAATTCCTATTACTTTATTTTACGATCTGAGTCGCACTTTTGACACAGTTTATCATAACGCATTATTAGATAAAAGCTCTACAATCTGGGCATTCGGGGTGTAGCCATGTGGATTACATCTTACTCAGAAAACAGGACACAGATGATAGTGATTGAATCTCTAAAGTCACATCCTGCGAATGTAACTNTTCAAACTCTTCTCTTCTAAATGTAACACATCGTATTCATGATTGAACTCATGTCCTTCTGCTAAAAGGTGGTTTGCAAATGTGGAATTGGTCTTTCTATTTACAAAACTTCTTCTATTCTCTTTAATTCTTTGGGAAAATGATCTTCCTGTTTGGCCAATATACAGTTTTGTACTAGAGCCACAAGTCAGCTTATATACTCCTGATCTATCCGACACTTAGAATATTATTCGTTCTGTAAGCTACGTTTACGCCTTCTTTCATGAAAAAACGGGCAATATTCCTGGTTGGTTCACCCAAACATGCCAATGTCCTATAACTGACGTCATCGCATCTTGAATATGAGTTGACCAGGTCCATGGCTTGTTTTTGTAGTTTTTTGGAAACAATGGCGTTTATAATATCTACCTTATACCCGTTATTAACAGCGATTTGTTTGATCAAATTCAGCTCTTTCTGGAACTCTCTATTAGACAGTGGAATATTCAATAATCTGTGAAGCATACTATTGAATGCAGCAACTTTATGCTGGTAAGAGTGCGTGAAGGAATTATGTATGATAATGTCCGTGTACGATGGTTTGTGGAAAATTGCAAATTCATGTTTATTGTTATTTTTCGTAATAATTAAGTCAAGGTAATTTATTGAATTATTTACCTCCCTCTCAGTGGTGAATTTTATTGACGGATGTTGGATAGGTAAATAATTCAATGAATCACCTTGACTTAATCATTATGAAAAATAACAATAAACATGAATTTGCAATTTCCCACAAACCATCGTACACGGACATTATCATAATTCCTCCACACACCCTCACCAGCATAAAGTTGCATTACAAACTTAGGTAAAAAATCAGGTACTTGAAATTCAGGTACTTCAAATTGTAGAATGAGGTACATATATAGCATTGAATGTGTAGAATTAGTTATTAAGACAGGCCCGAGGAAGCCATTGTATGGCGAAACACGTATTGCGTTTTTGTAAAACTGTCTAGTGAAAATCACACAATAAAATGTTTTTTGAATACGTTAGTTATGGATTTTCATCAAGTATCGGCCGATTCCATCAAATATTTTATTCCTGAAGAAAACAAGTCCAAAAACACAAAAATCATAAAAATTGGTTTAGCCGTTCACGAGTTCTTTTATTACTATTATTATCATCAATTCTTGTCTTTTTTTCATATTCACTCTCTTTTTAAACCTTCCCTGGACTTCCACGAATAATTCAAAACCAAAAATAACCAAATTGGTCCAGCCGTTCTCGAGTTTTAGTGAGACCCACGAACAGCAATTCATTTTTATACAGGGTGTGACTGAATAAGTGTAAAACATTTGAGGAGGTGATTCCTCATTGAAAAAAAGATAGGATCTTTCATATAAAGAAATTTCATTGGAGCATCCCTTGTTAAGATACATCCCCTTAAAGGGGGTACATAAAATTTGTATAACAATTTTTTTCACAAGCACTGACGTTTTGTACTACCAAAAGACACTCAGCCAGTAATTTATTTGGTTTATCCAATGGTTTTAAGGGGTGGAAAACGCAACCCCTAAAATTTACTTCCAATGTAAATTTTCGTCTTATTATTTGTTTACCATTTGAAAAATCATTTCCGATAGCTTGTTTCATTCTAAACAAAAAATGTCTCTTGGGTTTTTTGCCCAAAATGAACCAGTTCGCAGCAAAAAATTATTTTACGAACAACTACAGAGATACATCGTCATAAATGCGAACTGGATTTATTGTTATTTTGTAGTTAGTACCTGCATTAAACGATTGAAGCT